ACCATCCATTTTTCAGCAGATTTAGGAAGATGGTGATGTAATATACTAAACGTTATTTTAAAAACTGGGCTTTTTTTTCCCACAAAACGTGTTTTGGGGCATTGACAGTAAGAGGTCACTTTCAGAACAAATTTAACATTTGGGATATTCACGAAAAGTTATTAAACTTCGTCTTAAGACTAACATGCTAATATAATATCCAAAGGGAGATCAGATTTCACACTTCAAAAAGGGTACAACTGAACTGAGTGTTCTCATCCTCTGCTAAAACCCAAATGTCAGTGACTCATCAAGTGGCATATGCTTTAACACAGTAGGATCACCAATTCTCCAGTCCAAGCATAAAAATTAAAACTTTATGAAGCATGAAGTCATTTTGTTGGCAGTTTTTCCCTTGACTCAGGAAATATTTGTGAATGTTGTGAATCTGCCATTTTATGGTTTGGGTTTTTACAATTTCTTTTTCCTCTTTTTGCAAGGGGGCAGAGAGAGGAAGAGAGCTTGAATGGCAGGAAATGGGAGACTTGTGAATTATTACTTATGTGCATTTTCAAGAGTGATATATTTAATCTTACCAACTTTGTGATTGCAATGTTTTAACGTACATATGCTTAAGACAACACACAAGAATGATACAATCTTGTAGTAAGATAGTTACAAACAAATGTGTGGGGATTTGTGCTGATCTCATTGAGCAGATTTTCTGTAATGCAAGAAATGCAGTTGTACAGGCTCAGTTACTGGCATAAATCATTCTCTAATTTGTTGATGGAGGGGTTAGGTTCTTTCAAAGTGCAAAGCAACATACAATTTGACCATTAAGTTCCAATGCGAGTCAACATTTTTTAAAAAGATTCTGTCTATGGTGCTCTTCCAAGCATTGTTAGTATAAATTCTAAGTGCGTAATTGGTAAGAAGCACAGCTGAGGTCAGTAGAAGTATCTGCTGAGTCAAAAGTATTAAATCAAGTCTTTGTGTGCTAAGTGGTAACATCCAGAAATTGCTGTTAGAAATAACAACCTCATTTTTGCAAACAGTGTATACGCAACACAGAACTATACACATATATATATGTGTGTGTGTGCATACATACATACAGGCATTTTTTGATGGCTAATAAACTTACGCTCACAGAGTAACTGAGTTTTATGGATGAATTCTGTAGATGTAAGTTACGATTCTCCTGAATACCCTTTGGCTAGTCAACAGCTTCCGGCTTCAGTCGCCAGAAAAATAATCTAAGTAGACTATTTTTTTGGTTGATAAGACAAGGTTTTCTTCAAATCAATGAGATTTCAAGCAGATTTCAAATCAATGAGATTTGAAGTCCACAACAATGATCAAAATACAGTAATGGGAAAAAAAAAAAGGAGAAAAAAACCCACCACAATAAAAAACCCTTCAAGGCACTGTGAGGGAAGAGGAAATAGGGATGTTTTGACTTATTCTCCTCCTCCTAATTCCTGTAAATACATGCAAGTCAGTATGGCATCCAGCTTTATTCAACAGAGCATCTAAATGGCACCTTAAGCCAGACAGAAACATGGATCAGACCAAGCATGTGCTGGAGAGAAAAAGCTGGAAGGAGAAACCAGTGCAGTATCTCAGATTTCTTTACACTTTCTTTTGGTAGGAACTTGAACTTGAGGTGAGAAAGAAATCTTGCATATTGAACTGCTCTGAAACATGTTAAGGAAGTCTTTAAATGACACCAGCTTTACCATTGTTAATTCATTCTAGTCATGTTCCAAACTTAGGCTTTTGTTAAGGTCAAACTTTCAAGTGCTTGATTTTAGTTTCAGATGAGGAACATATCCTTATACAGCTTTAACAAATGTTACTGGGACAATTAAGTGAGACTAGCATCGTAAAATAGAACAATTCATGAAGGCTTACATGGCAAAGCTATATCACCTGCATTCATAGCACCAAGTAAGTTCTAGTCCCATATTTAATAGAATATCATTCGTTCACCTTCCTCATGAGTACAGATATGGAGTATTAATCAGACTAAATGTAACATCAATCTTTTTGATATATTATCACAACTTTATGAGGGCTGATCGCTAATCAAATTGACCAGCATCCATGCAGATAGTAAATTCTGGGTCAGTTCAGAATGACAGTACTGCAACAATGCAAAGTATGATTCACAGATGTCATCAAATAAAATAGTATTTTATGTTCTATCCAGGGGTAGGAAGTTGAAAATAGGCCATCAGCTGATCACTAGAGCCTGTGCTTTTCTCTGGAAAACTTGTTATGACATGCAACTGCCAAGAGATTAAACTGAATCCAGGGCTTTCAGAGATACCAGGGAGAAACTTTTTTCCTGCAGACTATATAGCTTTTACAGTTGCTATATTAATCTTGCACCCTAGGTTATCACATGTACCACCTAGATATACCACGTGAGTACAACTGCCTTACTTTTCAGGTAGCATTTATTTACAAATTATCCTGTTACAAACAGCTGAAGCAGGAATAAAGGGGACCGGAATGACAGAAGTAGCCTTCTGAGACCCAGCTTGATCAATTGTGTCGAAAAGGTTCTTCTATTATTATGCAGGAGGCTCAAAAAAAGTTCGATAGTTCTCCTCTAGCATTCACAAGCTGAGAAATGAGTTTGTTTTCACTGTGCAGTTTATTTAACCACAGAAACTTCCAAGTGGTTAATTCCAGTTTTTTGTGAAGATGATTCTGCCAAGCCAAACATCTAATCTGCTCTAGCTGAATTCCACCCAATCTTGTGTATCAGCAAGGTTTACCTGGTGAAGGCTACTAGGAAAGAAGTAACCCTTCTTTTTTTGAAATTTAATCTTACTTTTGTCTTACTGAGTTATATCATTCGGTTAAAAAAACCCAAAAAACAAAACAAAACAAAAAACAAACAAAAAACCAACCAAACAAAAAAACCCCACCCTGTATTTAACTGTGAAAACTACTGTCCAGATTTAATTTCAAGTCCTGGACACTATGTTTCATGGACTGTTTGTTTAATGAGGCATGCATCTGAATGGTTAAATCAGTATTACTTTCATAGCTCAATGCTTCATAAGCTTATGTTTCATTACAGATTGTACATGTGCTGAATTCTTGTCTAATGACCATGTAACAGGGCACGTTCAATTATTCTCTTTGGGTTTTAGAAAGAAACAGGAAGTTTGGCTATAAACAATGCAGTCATAGAATAAATTTCACCACAGCAAGTTCATCTGAAAAATATGCATTCTTTATAGCACAGCCAGGAATGGCATTATGAGAACCAACATCCTGCTGCGCTCAGTTTTTGGTTTTTTTAGTTTGTTTTTTTGTATTAATACTTAGGCAATATATGAAAAAAACCTTTTAGTTAATACTGGATGTTTTGTGATGAGCATTACTTGAAAGATGTGGATAGTGAATCAAAAGCAGCTGCTAGAAACCACAGGATAAATAACAAGTTTGCTAAATTTAGTGTATGTTATGAAATACATAGAGTGGAGGAAGAGTCAGCTGTTGTAAATTTTTATCAGCTGGGAAAGAATTACTATAGAATATTTCACTCTACTTAAAAAATAAAGGAAAGATGACAGACATTAAATAATGACAAAATATTTAATAGGAAGATGTCAGTTGATCTACACTGAAATTTAAGACTAGAATACATCTAATTTTTGGTTACATTTCTGCTTTTAACTCCTTTTAATAATCTACAAAAATATCTGTCTAAACTGTAGTGTTACTGAAATAAGAACAACTATTATTCTCTGGCTTCCAATTGTGCCTAGAAAAAGCACAATATTATTATTACTATGCCGCATCTTTCAATTATTCTACAGATGGGTAACATCTCAAGTCCATTATTAAATAAACAGAGAACACTTGGATTATTAAAAACATTTTCTTAAAATAATCAATAATGTTACAGTTCTTCACTAAATGAGCAAAAAAATTACTTTACTTAGCCATCTATTTAATCTTAACTAAATTTAATATACTTAATGCCAAGGTTTTACTTATTTTTTAATTTTCATGTGGGCAAGAAAATATTTAAAAACATAACAATGACAGTCCACAATTACAGATTGGATTAGGTTTTCCCTAGGGTCTAGCTAGGTTCTAGCTTCTAAAGATTCCAAATATTATGTCATAGCAGAGATTCTGTGAAGTACTTTACATCAAATGGGAAACAAAATGTCTATTTTTGAAAGACTGAGGTTGCCCAAAAATAATTAAATACATGTTTAAAAACAAACATTGCCAAGTAGCTGACACCCAAAGTCTGACCTACCTAAAAACTGAAGAATTATTTTATCAGTTGTAAAATCCTGCCATTTACACCCACACAAATCTTGCCAATAAATGCACTTACAGAAATATGTATATACATTACAGCATACTTGTACACATTTGTCTTGTGCTGGCCTGATAGAATTGGCCAGCAGAGGGAGCAGAAGTTAATAAACTTTTTCCCTAGAACAAAGATGAGAATCATTCACGCTATGTCAAACACGGAAGTAAATGAAAGGAACACCATCTTGGCTGTCCCATTAAAAAAAAACACGTGGTGGAGAAAAAGAAATTCTAAGAAATGCTAATGTTTTTGGTTGTTCCCCCCCAGCAGATTAAGAAAACAAAAAACACAAACAAGTACATCGAGCTTACCTTTGCGCAAAAATATATGCATTTCTATACAACAGAAAAATACATCCTTACGAGGAGCAGCAAAATATTTTCTAAAGTTGTCCTCTATAATATTAATCTATTGTTTCTAGACACCTTTTTCTGCATTTTTGTTACTTATTGTAAAGTTTTCCCCAGCAGATTAAGAAAACAAAAAACACAAACAAGTACATCGAGCTTACCTTTGCGCAAAAATATATGCATTTCTATACAACAGAAAAATACATCCTTACGAGGAGCAGCAAAATATTTTCTAAAGTTGTCCTCTATAATATTAATCTATTGTTTCTAGACACCTTTTTCTGCATTTTTGTTACTTATTGTAAAGTTTTTACCTGCAGGTTAATCTCTGCTTCATAGAAAGTTAAGCAGGAACAGTAGTGCCTCTCTGAGTCTATATCAGTCAAAACCACCACAAAGAACGTTGGCTGTTTTCTCTCTTTCGAAAGCTGCCATCCTCCAGGCTGGCAAAACTAATGAAACAAAAAAACGAGACACATAGTTAAGCAGTAATATAAATTGTTTTAAGAAACATGAAAGATATTTTTAAACAATATAACAGAACATTATCTGAAACAAGTAGCTAATTTCATTTACAGTGAACATATGCAGGGTTGCAAAATTTGGAGAAAATGGGGGAAAACCCAATAGGTCTTGGAGTTGGTCAGACTGATATATAAATCTAGCTCTACAGACATCAAAGGAGATATAATAAACTCTACAAACTGAAGATGTGTTCCTTTGAATTCAGTATTCAAGATCATCTTTGCAGGGTTTAACAGGCAGCAACAGGAATAAATTGACACATTATGCAGGTTTCATTTGGATAACTGGTTAGAATTTGAAGCTAAAATTGTTGTGTCTTGGAATGTCTCTACATTTTTAATTTCTCCACTTATTTCTCCATTAATTTATCTAATCAAACATAGATATTCCACTTACACCTACTTGCAAAATTATTCAATACTTACTCCTACAAAAGACTATTTATAGACCAATATTTTTCATCCATTTATTGATTATCTCTAAAAACTTTACTGTGAGCATTTGAAATTTTGTAAGAGTTCACACCATAGCAGGGATATAAGTTTTGCCAGCCCTGTGAAAAATATGTTCAAGTTTCGTGACTTCATAAGTCTCAGGGACAAAGAAAATCACTTGTTTCTCAGACTCAAAGAGGTTGCAGTTCTCCAAATACTTCATATGTACTTAGAATACTACATGGTTCCAAGCTCTTGCAGCCATGAGCAGACTAAATACATGCAATACTTAAAACACACATCAAATAAACCTAAGTCCTTTCAGTATTTGTTCCTTCAAGCTGACCAGCACCGTGGCAGGGCCAGCCCCCCAAAAAGAAAACATCAATTCCAGCCTCAGAACAGACATGCACAAATGGCATGAACAAAAAGAGAACTATAGCTCAAAAGCAAAGGGAAAAGTGTATGTTTTTTCTTCTTTTTTAAATGACTGGAGTACAACATCAGTTAATAACTTGTTCCCAGTAATGGAAGAGCATGCTGAAATTCAGAAATCAGTTTGCTGAAGATTCTTGAAATGGCCTTTATGGAATTTTGTATTCACTGTTTCTTTTACTTAAGGCTGAAGTCGCATACATGAAAAATTCACAAGTACATTATTATTTGCAAAATTATAAACTTTAGAATTTAGGGGCAAAGGTAATAGCCCCTGTATGTATTATTAGCATTATAAACTTAGAATTTACACGGGGCAAAGGTAATAGCCCCTGTATGTATTAGGAATAATAAACCCCCAAACCCCACAACATTTCTAGAATTGTTAAACAATGCAGATACCAAAGGAACCAGAGAAATAGGTCAAAATCTCATGTTTC